GTTTAGTTTTGTCGTCGTCGTCGTCGTCTTTTTATAGAAACGAAATCTCGAACGATCAAAAAACGGAAATGAAGTAATCGATTAGACAAACGTATACGAATAATTAAATCTCTTAATGTTAATAATAAAATTACTATCTAATGCCACGGTAAAATTATCCGTTGAAAAAAAAAAAATTTTAACGTCCGGGAAAAGCAAATGTTTAAATTATTTTCAAATGTCATTCGTGTTTACACGCATTTATAAATCCGAAACTTTTGATTAATTCAAAGGAAACAAAAAAAAAAAAATGTAATTAACAAAATGGCGTCGGTAATTATAATTACACCGGCCGTATTATTTAATGAACATTTTTTAATATTTTTTTTTTTAGAAAACCAAAACGTCGATAGCCGTAAAAAAAAAATCATTTTATATCTCGTAACGACAGCTATCTTAAAGTAAGTAATAAATTCTTTTATAAAAAATTATTTCTCCCCCCAGTACCCAGTCACCCAACCCCCCCACGTAATCAATTGATTAATAAAAATCATTTTTTTTGATAATTTTTTGTTTACGGAAACGTATCGTAAATTTTAAAATCAATTAAAATAAAACGAAGGAACGAATGGTCCAGGGATGCTGCATTTTAATAGTGATGATGATGATGAGATGAGCATTAAAAAGACCTCCCCGATCGCGTGTGTACCTCCCACGAGGTAAAAGTTTAAAAATTTTCTTCTTTTTTTTCCCTTTTACTTGGTAATTAAACCTTTGAGAACATGAAAAAGACAGAAAAATTTAATTAAATTGAATAACTTTGAACATAAGTTTAAAATAAGAAAATAGTCATCTTACAATTCGATTTTCGATAAAAAAAAATTGATTTTGACGTTAAAACGGGGGTTTAAAAAAATTTGAATTTATAATATTTATTAAACTTTATCGTTTTGGCGGGAAATGTATAACGGAAAGAAAGGGAGGGGGTAGGTAGGAGGAGGTTTTTTTGTTTTATATATATATATATCGTCTGCTCGTGGCAACATCTGTTTTTTTTCTCAAGCAATCATTTTCAAATCGTAATCCAAGAGTTTTTTTTCTTTATGCCCTCGTTTTTAATAGTGTTCGCTGGAATTTTTTTTCCGTTTTTGTTTTTGTTTGTTTTGCTACATTTTGAAATTTTTATTTATTTATTTTTTTTTTTTTAAAGAAAAACGTTATTAAAACGACATCGTCATCGTCTTTGCTTATTGTTATTATTGTTATGCGCGCGAATCGTATACGATAATGCAAAGCGATAAAAAAAAAAAAAACAAAAAATAACACACACACACATATATATATATATATATATATATAAAAATTTATTTGTTTGTTTGTTTTTCCAAATCCTTTTCCGAATGATAATACGATTTATAATAATAATAATAATAATACTAATAAAATAAATAAATAAATAAAAATCGGTCTAAATCGAACTATATGAGGGCGTAACTCAAACCAAAAATTCAAAAAAAAAATTTCTATTACGTAAATATCGTTAATAATAATAATAGTGTGATAAATTTTTAAAAAATGTTAAATCCCAACGAATAAAAATAAATTTTCGCAATGAAAACGACAGGAAAAATTTTTTTTTTCAAACAAACACAATAAAATAAAAATTTACTGCAAAAGATTTTATAACAATTAACGCTAAAAAAAAAAATAAATAAAAATTTTTTTTTTTTTAAATTGCAATAAAAAAACCTTTCAGGTTCATTCGACCGAAACAAAATACGATATTGCTTTACCTTTCGTGACAATGTTAACTCCATCAATAAAAAAAAAAGGTAGATAAAAGATTTAAAAAAAAAAAAAAAAAAAAAATAGATATATGTAGATAGATAGATAGATGAGAAGAGAAAATATATATACATTTTGTTTTTGTTTTTTTTCCCCCATCGTTTTAAAATGATTTTTTTTTTTTTACATTCGACAAACGACGTTTAATCGATGAATTTTTATTGTATTATTATAAAACACGAATGTACAAATAATCAGGAAAACAAACGACAAACAAACAAACGATCATCGTTTACTTTACGTTGATTTTTATTTTTTCAAATCGAAGATGATCAGATATTATTTATTTATTTGTTATCAATACAAAAATTTTCTCTCTTCTTCTCTCTCTCTCACCCCCTCTCACTTTTCCTCATCTCCTCCCCCTACCCCTCTCCCTCTTTTTCACTCACACATTCAAACAAAATCTTTTTTTTCGTTTGTTCGAAATTTAAAACGATGCGGTCATTTTGACGCATTAACGGTTATTTTATTTGGTTACCACCACCCTCCCTCCTCCTCCTCTTCCCCCCTTCGAAAAATAATAATAATAATAATAATAATAACAATGATAAACTTAATTAATCGTATATATTAATCGTACGTCAACATTGTCATTGGCACCACTCATAATGGCGATCGTTTTTTTTAATCTCACCCTAAAAAAAATTATTCCGACATTATGTTTTCCTTATAAAAACCCGTCAATTTAAATTTAAAATTTAAATTTTTATCACCAGAAAGAAAAAATTATCAACGAAAACGATTCAATATATATATTTATTCTGTGAAAATAAAAACAAAAAAACGAACAACAACCCGAATAATAATAATAATAATAATCATTTGTACGTTTAATTAACCTTTTTTTATTAACGAAATTAATGGTGATAATAATAATAATAAAAATCATACTTTAAATCGATATTTAAAATTATGATGATAAATAAAATAAAATTTAAATTTACACTTAAATTATTATCATTATCGTTGCGATGCGTTTATCGAAACCTTTTGAAACCCTTAACAAACTTTTTTGTTTTTATTTATGATGACGTTTGTTCGATATATCGAAAGTCAAATCATAGAGTCGATAACAAAAAATTTGTATGAGATCGATTCGGTTAGTTAAAATAAAAAGAAATTTTCCCTTTTTTTTTTTCTTTCGTAAATATTTATTGTTATCCGAATAATAATAATGATAATGATAATAATAATAATTTTTTTTTTAAAAGCGTCCATTAAGTTCGAGTGCGATGAACTAGTACGAATGAATTTAATGGAAACCATTTTTTGTTGTTGTTGTTGTTTTAACGTTAAAAAAAAAAAGAAAATTCAAAATGTCGTCGATATTGAAATAATAAAATCAAACGAGTTTTTTTTTTTTTTTAAAAATAATAATTGAAAAAAATTTTGCGGCGATTTTTGTTTGCTGTTGTTCTCGATTGGTTGTTCGACAACAACAACAACAACAAAATTTTTTTTTTTTTGTAAAAATAATTGCAATCGTATACCTAAATCAATTTTTTTAACCTCTTCCCAGTTTTTTGTTTAATTAAAAAATCCTTTATTATTATTATTATTACTGAATCGAAATTATTTACACGTTTTTTTTTTGATTTTTGATTTTTCCCGATTTGATTTTATTTAAACAAAATAATAATAATAATAATAATAATAATAATAATAATAATGCGTGAAATAAAAACGTTATCGTAAATTTTCTTGTTGTTGTTGTTGGAAGGAATAATATTATGATAAAATTTTCTTTGATACGTTTAAGAATAAAAAGATAAATCGTGGGAATAATTCTAAGTCCACGATTCTTTTTTTTTTTAAATTTTCGTCATGATTGAGAAAACGATATCGTACCTGATTACACGTTCGTTTCATTTTTTTCCCTTTCCATTCTTTTTCTCGAAAACAAAAACAATTTAAATTGAAAAAAAAGGAAAGGGGGAAAAAAAAGAAAAAAAACCCGGAAAAAGAAAATCAAAAAATAATAATAATGATGACGATGATGATAGAGATGATAATGATGATGATGATAATGATATATATTTTTTTTCTATTTAGTAAAAAACTAAATAAGTTAAAAATCAATAATAATCCAAATATTGAAAAAAAAAATGATGGAAAAGTTAAAAAAAAAGTGAAATTGACACTTTAGAGCGCTTTTATAGAATTTTTTTTTTTTTTTTCAAAAATAAAAATAAAAATATAAAAAAAAAAAAAGGAAAAGTTTTTAATTTAATTTTATTATTATTATTATTATTATTATCATTATTTTTCTTATTCTTCTGCTTCCTTCTTTTAGAAGCAAAAAAAAAAAAAACTCATATTGATTTGATTAGTTTAAAAGTTTTTTTTATGGTTCGCCGAACTTTTTATTATATTCAATTTAAATTTTTCCTTCCCCTCCCTACCTCCCCCCTTCTCCTCCCCCTGGGGATTTATTTACGGTAATGTAAAAAAAGAAAATCTCATTAAAAATAATCAAAAAAAAAAAAAAAAATGAAAGAAACAAATGAAATTCCTTGATGTAAGCAAAAAAAAAAAAAGAAAAATTTATTTTATTCCGATTTAACCGACAGAAAATTATTATCATTATCATCACTAAAAAAAATTATTATTATTATAATTTCGAGTCGAGTGTAAATTATTATTATTATTATTTTTCGGTAAATTCATTCTCAGCAACAGCAAAAAATTAAAGTTTAACCGCAGCAAAAAATACCTGCAAACTTTCTCATTTTGCGACAAAAATTTTATTTATTAAAATTCGATTAAAACACCATCGAAAAATTTATTATTATTATTATTATTATCATCATTATTATTTATTTTTGCTATCGTAACGCGATGGAAACTATAGGAACGTTTTAAAAATCTTTCGTTAACAAAAAAAAAAAAAACTTTTCCCCCCATTCTTTAAAAATATATATTAAAATTTTGTTATTTTTTATTGTTTTTTTTTTTAGTAGTAGCAGAAGACAAATTTTTTTTTTGAAAAAAGAAAAGAAGAGGGAGGATGAGAGGGGAAAGAGAGAGAGATGTAAAAAGCATACCTGACTCATGTAAGATTTAACAAATTCCATTGATTGCTCTAACGCGTATGTGTCACTGCTACACGAATCTAATATAAGAGCTCCTAGTGACACGTTCGGTAATATCGTTGGATCTTTATTTATTTTGTCCATCGCATACAACATGGCCTCGAGCCTTTGTATGCCTTTTTCTTCTTTTACGGCACCGCATTTTCCGTTACGTTGTTCGTGCATTGGAAATATACCACCGAGTATCAAATCACCGGATATTCGAATTCTTTTACCGGAATCATTTTGTAAAAATTGACACTTGACCGTTGATGACGTTATCAACAATAGGAAAACAATTACGTGTAAAATGTTTTTATTTACGATAATAATACTACTACTATTCATTCGATAAAACATGACGAAATTTTAATTATTATTATTACTATTACTATTAATAATATTTTTATTTTATTTTTTTTATCGTTTACATTTGATTATATTTAATGATTTTTTTACCGACGTATAATATTTTAATATCGATTCAATTGATAATAATAATAAAAACATAAACAACATGGCGGAAAATAAAATAATAATAATAAAAAAAAATTATTAATTATAATGATTTACGCGTTCAAACGAAAAAAAAGAAAACACGATCGGCTATCTTTTTCTTTCTTATTATATCCCGTTTTATCCCGTTTTTTGTTTTTTATCATTTCGTTTATTATTATTATTATTATTATTATTATTATTATTATTATACCGATAAATTGGTTTTCATTCTATCGGAATCCGTTCGGGAAAGCATTTAATTTTTGCGGCGCGAAACAACCGACTAAACCCAAGCTGTTGGTTACATTTTATTCGGAGAATGCGCGAACCGAACGCTTGCGTCTTCACACTTTTCTCATTAAAACGATTTTTTATAATAAATTTTTCTCTTTTTGCAAACGTCCACGTATTAATAATAATAATAATAATAATAATAATAATAATAATGATGATGATGATGATGAATAATAATATTAATAATTTCATCGTTCGACATCCCATTCAAAAAATAAAAAATAAATAAATACGTATATATTTATGTAATAAACAAAGATACTCTTCATTGAAAAAGGACGCCATTTTGTGTGCGTGTGTGCGTGTGTATGCGTGCGTGTGTTCGTGCGTTCGTTCGTGCGTTCATCGAATTTGATATTAAAAGAAAAAAATCACTTCTTACTTAGTCCACTGGGACGAAATAATTTCTTTTTCTCGGTTTTTGATTTTTAAGTTAATTTACCCAAGGGTGACATTAGTAGAATCCGTTAAGTGATTCATGGGTTAAAGGTCAAATTGATTTTATTTTATCAATTGCAATAAAAATCATTTCATTATTATTTTATCCAATTGGCAAATTCGTACGCGATGACAAAATGATTTAAATAAAAAAAAATTTACAAACAAACTCTTTGCCCCCCTTTTTTGTTTTAAATCGTCGTGATCGTAGTGAGTCGTGTAAATAGAAAAAAAAACATTTTAAAATTATATTGTGATAAAAACCATTTGAAATAAAATTTCAATTGATTAGTTATTGATTTTTCAACATCGTCATATATATATTTATATGTATTTTAAAGAAAAAATTTTTTTTTTTTTATTTTTAAATATTAATTTAAATAAAAACCTGAGGCGTCCGCCATTTGTAAAAAAAAAAAAAAAAAAAAAATTTTTTTTTATTGCTTTCACGTGCAAAAGAACTCATGATCGAAAAAAAAATAAAAATTGCATTTCAAACAATATAAATAATATATTGTGAATAATTTTTAAATAATTAATAATAACGGTTGTTGTTGTTGTTGTGAATGTTCGTACATTATTAACACACGACAAAAATTTTTTCGATAATAATAATAATAATAAAGATAGTAAAAAATTATAAAAGGCGTCAGAGCTTTTAGTAAATGTTAGGTAGTAATAGCAAAATGTAAAAACCCAAAACGATAATGGAATTTTATACAAAATTACCCGTAGAAAAGGTTGGTTGTCTTATATCAAAAGAATCGTGTAGGAGAGAAAGAGATAGAGAGATAGGGAGAGAGAGAGAGAAAAGTGAAAATACACGAATGAGGGTCAAATAAAAGTTCGATGCGGTTAAAAGAGACTTTTTTGTTCCTTGATGTTTTTCACAAAAAAAAATAAAAATTTAAATTATTGAAATCGACCGTGGATTCCCGCCCCTACTCCTCCTCCTTCCCTTTCTTCCCTTTCTACCGCCTTAAACTCCCTCCTCCTCCCTGTAAAACTTTACGAAGGAAAAAAATCGAAAAGGTTTCATAGGGGAAAACGAGTGGAATTTTGTTCAAAAAACGCACGTAAAAATTTTTAATAAAAAAACCGAGAGTGAAATTTTTAAAAAAAATACGAAGGGGGGTAAGAAAGGAGTAAGGGGGGACAAAGGGGAGGGGGAAGAACGAGGAAAACAAGAGTAAAACAATTTTTAGAATTTTTATCTCATCAAATTTTGTTATTATTATTATTAATATATGGAAACATCACAAAATCAAAAAATTTTTGTTTTTTTTTTTTTTGAGGGGGGAGGGGACAGGAAGGGAAGGAGAGGCAGGGAAAAAAAGGGTTTTAAATAACCGAAAAAGAAAAAAAGAGAAAACATCAAACGGCCATACCGAAAGTACAAATGCAAATAAGGTAAAAAACAAAAAAATGACAACAGGAAAAAAACAAAAGTGAAAAAATTCGCACGAGTTTTTGATACGCAACCATTGAAAATAATATCATTGACGGCGACGAAAATAGAAAATCCATTTAAATTTCACGCCGACAAACAAACTACGACAAACGACAAACAAGTAAAAAAAAAAACGTTTCCTTTAAATAAAGTAAAAATATTTTAAAATTTTTTTTTAATTGTTTCTATTTCCTCCTCCTCCTGTTGTTGTTGTTGTTGTTGTAAATGAAAATTTCAAATTAAAATTTAATTTTTGTTAAAACGAATACCGCGGTTGTCGATTGTTGTTGTTGTTGTTGACAACAAACGAATCGTATAAATTTTCAAAAGCGTTTTTTGCGTCAAAAGAACACACAAAAAAAAAATAATCTTTTTCTTTTTTTTCTTTAAAAATTCTTAAAATTTTTTTTCTTTTTCTGTTATTACAACAGGTAAACGATTCGTTATAAAATGTAATTTATATTTAAAAATAATAAAATTATCAATTTTCTCAAAACCGGAAATAGACTTTAAAATTTTATTGAGTTAAAACAGGAAATAAATACAAAAAAAAATAAAATCATATTATTATTATTTAAAACGCTACAAAAAAAAAAAAAACTCGTAGAGTACTATTATCATCATCATTATTATTATTATTTATTACTTTCTCGAAATTAAAAAAAATATAACGGAAGAAAAATAATATTAAAAAAAAAAAAAAAAGAAAAGCAACGTAGACGGCCATGATGCTGATAATAATAATAATCATGAAGACGACGATGACGACGACGACGATGATGGAAGTAAAAAAAGTTTTTTTTTATTTTTAAACGACGACAGTAAGATTCGTTTTTTTTTTTTTTTTTTTAAATTTTAAATTAAAAATTAATCCGCACGACACTCATTTGTTTTTCCCGCCATTTTTATTTTTTTTAACGACAAAATAATGATAATTAATAAATCGCCTGTGTCAAAAAGAAAAATAAATAAGTAAATTTTTTATCCCCCTGTTTTTCTCATCGGTTGTATAAAAATAAATAATAATAATAAAATTTACTCGATAAAGGGAAGAAACAAACGTCAAATCTCAAACGGCAAACAGCAAACAGCAAACGGCAAAACGGGAAACAGCAAACGGCAAACGACAAATTTTTCTTTAAAAAAAAAAAACGATCGAAATTTAAATCCCAGAATCGACGAACAACTATTTTTATTATTATTTTTTTTTTTTAAATTTATTTTTATTCGTGTTAATAAATAAAAAATAAAAATAAAAAAATTCTTGGGCGAATCGTTAGTATACGTCATCGTCGTCGTTGTTGATGATGATAATAATAATAATACGTATGAATCAATTTTAAAAAAATTTTTTTATAACGTTTCAAAAAGTTTTTTTTTTCCCCCCCCTCTTTTTATCATAAAAACCTTTTTTTTTTTTTTGTTCAAGGAGAGTTTAAGACAAGTTTTTTTTTAAAAAAGTTTTTTTTTTTTTTTTTTTTTTTTTACAAAACCGTCGTAAAACCATCGTGATTTATTCATTTATTTTATTAAGTTAATTTTTAAATTTCAAAGGCTTTTTCATTTATTAAAAAAAAAATTTTTTTTTTTTATCCGCCATTTTTTTTTTTTAAATAATTTTTTCCCGCCATTTAATTTATTAAACGAATTTGAATATATATGAATACGAGTAAAAAATTCAACGGATGAATTTTTTTTTTAGAGAAAAAGAGGAGGGAAAAACGCGGGAAAACGCGAGGGAATTTTTTTCTCTGTCGTATCTTCTTTACAAAAAGAAAAAACTTTTTAGAAATCTTTTAGAAAAAAAAAAATTATTCATCGTCGTATCGAAAGGAAAATTACGTCGAAATTTACGGTTTGATGAAAAAAGCTTTTCTTATAAAAATCATTCAGTCAGTCAATCATTCATTCATTCATTCACTTAAAAATTTTTATTATTTATTTTTTTTTAACGAGGTGGCATCGTAAAATGTGTTTCAGTGCGTAACAACCATTCATTATTATTTTTCAATTCGTATAATTTTAAAATTCGTCGACATTTTTCCTTACCGAAAAAAAAACATGGCGGATTTTAACTTCCTTCTCTCTCTCTACCCCACACCCCTCAATCCCCTTCCTTCTTTTCAAATTTTCACATGTTTTTAAAAAATATGTATTAATAAACACATTTTTTTTTCTAAAAAAAATTTTCTCCAGTTAAAAATAAAGTTTTCAACTGGAAAAAAAAATCAAAAATTATTTATTTATTTATTTTTATAATAATAATAATAATAATAATTATAATAATAATTCGAAAAGGAAATATGATAAATGAAAATGTGTTGTTCATGACAAAACAAACGACTTTTCCCCCCCCCAAAAAAAAAAAATTGATTTTAGAAAAGGGAAAAGAAAATCCCCCCCTCAAAAAAAAAAAGTTTTTTTTTTTTAAAATATAAAATCTAACATTTAAATTTATTTAAATTATGTTTTATTATTATTATTATTTATATCGATATATGCGTGTTTGCATGTGTGTGTGTTTGAAACAAACAAACAAAGTTTTTAAAAGTTTTCTAAAACAACATGTATGAATGAATGAATGAATGAAAAGTGGAAATGATGGAAAAAAATACGAAAAGGATGACGAGTGAGAGAGAGAGAGAAGTGGGGGAAGGGAAACCGGAAATCGTATAAATAATAATAAATTTTACTGGAGAATAAAAGAAAAGATTTTTTTTTTTTTCAATTTCATCTGGAACAATCGACCAAATACCTTCGGGATATAAAAAAATTATTTTTTTTCATACCTCCAGAATTTGTGAGTAAAACATTTCCTCTTTCTTTTTTTTTTCTCGTGTGAATTTTATTATGTTTCGTTAAGTGATCGGAACGTGAAAAACTTTTACCGCAAACGAAACACGGATACGGTTTAACACCTGAATGAGATCGAACGTGTCTCGATAATTCATCCGAACGTGAAAATCTCCATTCGCAAGATGGCCAACTACAAACAAAAGGTTTTTCACCCGTGTGACGTCTCAAATGTATTTTCAAATGTGATGATTTCGTGTACATTTTTTCGCACGAATCGTAAGGACACTACAATAACAAAAAAAAAATTTTTTTTTATTTTTTTATTTTTGTAAACGTGTCTAGAAGTTTAAGGATGATACAAACAAACAAACAACAACCTCGAATGTTTTTTTAGTGGTCATGACTACGCAATCCGTGTAATCGTGAGATGCCAATGCGCTCGCCGGTGAAACAGATCGAACGCTTTTTTCTAATTCGCTAAGACTAGTGGTCTTCTTACACGTTTCTTTTATATCATTCGATTTGATTTCCGGTACGTTCGCCCACGAATTTTCCATTATCTCTTCGCAATCGTTTCGACATTTTTCCAACCACGATTCGAAATCGTTAAAACAAGTTGATAAATCTACCAAAGGCCCTTGAAAATTTATATCTGACAATAAAAAAAAAAAATTTTTTTTCGATAAACGACAGCACGCATAGCATTTACAATGGCGTCGCCGCCATTTTATTTTCAAAAAAAAAAAAAAACAAACGACGACGACCATTGAGCCTTATTGTCTTCTTCTTCTCATTGTTGATTACGATTTTTTGTCTGTGTGTTAAAAAAGAATGTAAAGAATTTTATGGTTGTAATGTTGCGTTTATTAAATGCCCAGTTATTACTTAAAAAAAAAAAAAAACCTTCTGCTCGAACTCTCTGGTCACGGTTGATGAATTTAAAAAAATAAAAAATTGCACATTTTCGACTGTTCAGGTATCTTAACCACGTTTAATCTCAGTTCTAAAAACATTTTTCTTTTTTAAAAAATGTTTTACGTTTTATTTTTAACTTTCGTTAATGACCTAATATGAATAATTCTAACTTTTTTTCTAAACGTAATAGTAATAATAATAATAATAATAAATAATTTGTTTCGAATAATCTTATTAAAATCATAAATTCAAACGATTGTTGTATTTGTAAAAAACAAACTTTTTGAATGCAATCAAAATGGCGGCGACGTTTGTTTTTTTGTCTTTTTTCAAAGACGTGCATGCACCTTCCGGTACTGGATGATAAATAATTAATGATTACAAAATATAAATTTACCCCCCACTACCTACGTACCTGTCATATAACTTATATCGTCGAAATCATCCAGAAATGCATCGGACAATGACGACGACGGCGTGTTGTCCAAAAGTGGCATCATGGCACAAGAACCGGATAAAAAAAATGAATCCAAATCAATTAAATTACCATCAATCATTTGTAAATCCTTTTTTAAAACAAAAAAACAAATGTTAGTCGATAATAATAATAATAATAATAATAATAATAATAAAGAGCAGGTGACAAATTTTTTTAAAGCAGGTGAATATTATTTAAACTAGCCAGACTTTTTTTTTTTTTTCTTTCGAACGAAAATAATAAATTATTATTATTATTACATCGAGTTACAAATCAATATGCATATTATTCATAATAATTATTACTTATGTAAGTAATACATAAATAAATAAATATAATCGTTAAAGGTAAAATGCAATTTATCTACGGCGCACGCACAAATTTCGCGAAAATTTTAATAATTTTCCCTTTTGTTGTAATCATTTAATAAATAAAACGATAAAAATAATAATAATGATAAGTATTATTATTATTATTATTATTATTTTTACTTTTCATTTCTTTTGTAGTAAAATGTTTAGTTACAAAAAAAAAAAAAAATGTAATCGATAAAAGAAGAAAAAAAAAAAAAATTAAATTGAAAAGAAGAGAAAAACAAATTCTAACATTTATTTATACATTAATAATTTTTTTTAAAGAAAGAGAGAGAGGGGGAAGAGGGAGAAAGAGAGAGAGAAAGAGAGAATTAATGGCTGTGAACTGTAAAATTACGAAGCAAATTGGTTTCGTGTGATTCGAAAAAAAAAAGAAAAATTTATATATATATAAATAAATAAATGAAGAAAATGCGTTTCGGTAAATTTTTTTTTTTTTTAACTTGAGCGAAAAAATTTCAATTACTCTCATTAGCCTCCCCACTCCCCGGTCCCCACAACGCACCCTACCTTTCTTCTTTTCGGTTTTTCTACCCAATAACGATCAATTTATATTTATTTATTATCATTATTTATTATATTTTCCGATACGTTTGTATATTTTTCTCTTTCTTACACGCGCGTATATTTATAAACTTTCCTAATTATCATTATTATTATTTTCGTTCCACCTTTTTCTCCCCCCCCCCTTCTTCTTCATTCCTTCGGGAATTTTTTTTTTTTTAATTTTCTCGTTGAAAAAGGTTCAAAGTTACATAATTAAAAAAAAAAAAAAATTTATTTTTGATATCAAAAAACGCAAAATTTTACACACACACACGAGCGGATAAATTATTATTAGTATTATTATTATTTTCTTTTTTTTTTCTCACCATCACGAAAAATAATTTTTCAAATGTCAAATTTACATTTTGAAATAATAATAATAATGATAATGATGATGATGATGATGATGGCAGTAACAGTAATTACCGAGAAGAAGAGTTTTATTAACAATTACCCATTATGTAATCTTATAATTTTTCTATCTCGAAAATTCGTGATTATTATTATTATTATTATTATTATTATTATTATTATTATTATTACATCGCGGTCGATTATGGAGCAAATTATTTATTTATTACGCAGACAGAAAATATTATTATTATTATTCTCCCTCTTCTCCTCGATTCGTCATTTTTTTTCCTTTTGAATTTTCGAAAAGTTTCCTCTTTTTAATCCAGTTTAAATAATAATAAAAAAAATTATCGGAGCCTCTTTCCCCCCCAAAAAAAAAGGAAAATTTTTTTTTATAGAACTATAAAAGCTATAAAGTAATCTTATAGACGTAAACTATATACGAGTTACTACTATAAGCTTACACGCATGCAAAAAAAAAAAAAATTAAGACGAAACACCTGATACGTAATAATGTGTGTGTCACGGTTTGCGATTTTAATACTGTCATTAAAAATTATTATTATTATTATCATCATTATCATTATTATCATTATTATTATTATTATTAAACATGGCAAATCGTAATGCCAAATTTATTAACCTTGACTATGAACTCGATTTTAAAAACAAAAAAGTAAAAAAAAATTTTTTTTTTTTAATACGACAAATTAAATTATTCGAATTATTTTCAATCGAAATTTGCTACGCGTAAAATTTTTTGCTTTGGTTGATGACAGCAAAAAAAAAAATAAATAACAGCAAAAAGAAATTACCTTTCGAAACAAAAACTTTTTCCACAAATATTTAGATACGAAGAAGAAGAAAAGAGAAAAAAAAACCGTTAGCAATTTCCACCGTTTTTGAAAATTCTTATTATTATTATTATCGTTGATATTTATTTAATTTTAAATTCCGACAGCACGAAACAAATACAAAAAATAAACTGAATTTGATTATTTTATCCCGAATCGTCCTGGTCTTGGTTTTTTTTTTTTTTTGGGTTCTAATCATTGAACCAGATGACATCCCAGGACGATTCTCGAATATCATAAAAAAAAAAAAAATTTACAATTCGGCTCTGATTACTAATATTTATATATTTTTTTTTTAGGATAGAAAATTTTACAAAACCGTCCCAACCACCACCATCCTAACTAATTAACAAACGAAAATAATAATAATAATGATGATGCTGATGATGAAAATGGCGACGACGACGACGACGACGATAATTTCTTTTAAAAAAAGCAAAAAATATTACGTTACATTTTCTGCTTAAATTTTTTTTCTCTTGGGGATTCTCTTGGGGATTTTAATTTTGTTCCCCTCTTCCCCCCCCCCCGAAAATATCTACTTATGCGAATTAGGCGCGATCAAAAACAAAAATCAATGATAAACATAAAATATTCGATAAAATAGATCGTTAATATTATTATCATTACCAAAACAAAATTCATTTTAATATAAAAAAAAAAAATTTTTCTTTATTATTTTTTTTATTAAAAAAACGTTAATTAATTATTAAAATAAATCAATAAGTTTTATTAACTAATTATTAATCACTATGATAATAATAATGATAATAAAGTATTAAACGCACAAAAAGTTTTTTATAATGACGTCATTATCGTAAATATTACAAAAAAAAAAAAAAAAAATTTAAAAGGTGATGAAAATATCGCGTTTTTTCCTTACGACGGTCCTTACTTTAAATTATTATTATTATTATTATCTTACTCGTAAATATATATGAGGAAATTTTTCGTCAGGAGCGTAACAAGCCGGGAGAAAATTGCGGAATTTTTTTTTTTTTTCATTTTGAAAAAAAAAACGATGCAATTAAACGGAAAAAAAAAATTTTTTTTTTTTTCATTCTTTTCATAAATTCATTTAATGCCAAAAAAGGGCAAAGGCAAAAAAAAAAAGAAAAAAAATTAGCGCGAAATTTAAATTGAAAAACAACAACAGCAGACAACAAACAACAAAGACAAACGAGAAAAACAAAAACGACCTAAAAAAAAAAAAAAAAAAAAAAAAAATTCATTCGAATTTTTTTCATGTGAGTCAAATGAATTATTATTATTATTATTATTATTATCATTATCACACAAAGGTTTATTAAACATTTTTTTTTTTTTTTAAGGTTCGTGCAAGACTATTTGGCTTTTTTAGCCGATGGCCGACATTTTTTTTTTTTTTAAATTTTCGGGCCTTATGAAGTTTAAAATGCGTCATTATGATATAAACACACAACGAGAGTTGAAAATATTTTTAATCGTACAAAACTTATAAGCCGTGTTATTATTATTATTATTATTTGACGTAATCTTTCACCCGCATAAAGTCAAATTACGTTTGATAAGAAAAATTATGGCTGTAAAGTTTGTTAAAAAAAAAAATAATAATAATATCATAACCCGCCGCCGCCGCCTTAACCGCCACAGCCACAATCGTCGCCGCCATATTTAATTTGTTCTTTTTTTTGTTTTGTTTTGTTTAAACATCATTTCACGTTTGTTGTATTGTTTAATTAAAAACTTATTAATTTTATTTAAAAGTTGGCATTATTGTTTTCGTTTTTCAAACACCTTAAAATTCTTTCTCTTTTCTCTTCTTCCGCTTCACTTCCGGAAACGGATGTTCCTTCATTCTCATCATCTTAACTTAATGTACGAATAATAAAATAAATAAATAAATAAAACCTTTTTATAAATTCTTCTTATTTAAAAAAAAAAATGGCAAAAAAGTTTTTCTTTTTTTTTTTTTATAATCTTAATCAATTTTCTTAAAATAAAAGTTCATTTTCTAAAAAAAAAAAAAAAAGTCTAGAACGTTCCAAGACGAAGAAAAGAAAAAAATAACCGTCGATCTGATCAACTCTCTTGACAAATTAATTCAATTAAAATGGCGACTTCTTCAATTTTATTTTCCAGACGTTTCAAATAATCATACTTAAATATATATATATTTTAAATTGTTTCCGTTTCCGACGTTACGATATATATATTTACTCCAGCAACAAAAAAAAAAAAAAAAAACAAAAATTCCAGCTAACGAAATTTTTTTTTTCCATCCATTCCTTTTTTTAAATTTTTATTATTCCAGGTCTTTCTCTCTCTCTCTCTCTAACCTGCTTGATCCCTTAGGGATAAATACGTGCTAAATGAATTTCATCGTAAACAGGATCCATTCCAGTTGTTTGTCTTTTTAAATTCATCTTATTCCTGTACCCGTGACGTCAGCATCTTTATAGTAACCGGAAGTTGCTCTTTCAAATCGGCGTAAAAATTTTTATGCATCCCAAACGGTGATCATCCAATCAAATCCCGAATCCCGTCCGATATTCCTCAACTTCGATTAACGACGGCACGATCGTTGACTTATCATTATTATTATTAACCGTAGAAAAATTTTTTTAAAATTCAAACCGAAGGTAATAAAAAAAAAGGAGGAAATTAAATAATAATAATAATTAAAAAATCGAATATTAACGATTCCAAAGCGGAAATTGTCGATCCAGAAATAGTTTCAATATAAATATCACACGCACACACACACACCATTCCTGAAACGATTCCGTTAAAAAAAAAATTTTTTTTCTTTCTTTTATTATAAGAAAGAAAACGTATAATAATAATGATAATAATAATCGTGGGGTAGTTGTATAATAAACGACATTTTTTTTGGACATTTACTGATGCGATTACAAAAAAAGAGAGAGGGAGTAAAAATCTTTAACGAGACGATATATTTTTATTCTTTTTTTTTTCTTTAGTCTTTATGATTATTATTATATATATATACATCGAAAAAAAAAATGGCGTCGAGTATATATTTATAAATTTTAAATATTATTATTATATTTTTATAAACATGAACTTTTCTTTTATTTGACGGAACGTTGATTTTCATTGGTTAAAACAAAAAAACAAAAAAAAATTTTAAACTCGGATGAGTTTTGAACCACCACCCGCCACCACCGTCACCTGTTTGCGGTTACGTTTCACTCTATTGATGTTGTTCTTATTATTTATTTCTACAAAATTATCATTATTATTATTATTGTTACTTAAGAAATTTTATTTCTTTATTTTAAAACATTTTATTCGTATGAGATCGATACGAGAGGTATAAAAAAAGAAACTCTGTAAAATACGTCACAAATTCATTATAATTCAAACCAAAAATGGTATCGAAATTTTCATATTTCCTTCCTTCCTTCCTTCCTTCCTGTTTCGCTTGTGTATTTTCTTTTTTAACGTTACAAAATATATAAAATTAATTTTTCTTTTATTTTTTATAACGATTTACAAGAGAGGACGAAGAAAGAAAAAAATTACGAGAGCACTTGTAGTAAATTAAAATAACACGAAAGTAATTTATTAATTTTTCTTTTTTCCCGGCCCCCTACTTTCCTTCCCACCTCCCATCTTCCTCCTCCCATTCCCCTCCTCTTTCTCTCCAAAAGAAAAAATAATATTTATGAGAAAAAATTAAGGTACGAAGAGAAGAGAAGTGAAAGGAAGAAAATTAATTTTTTTTTTTTAAATGGAGAAAAAGAAAAGAAAAAAAAATTAATAAAAAAAAAAAGAAAAGGTTAAAAGTTGAAAAAAAAGCAGAAGAAATTCAACGCCCAAAAACAAAAAAAAACTTTTTTTTTTTTAATTTCATTCGAAATTTTTTTTTTTAATTTAAGAGTTACCAAATGTTAAAAAAGTATTTAAATTACTAAAAAAAAAAACAACCGACAACAAACAACAACAAAAAGGAAGGAAGGAAATGGTTGTTTTTTTATTTTTTTTTAAATCCAGGAATTTTCTCGAAATTTTCATTAAATTTTTTCTTTTTTTTTTACGATATTAATTCAAATGCATTTTAACGAAGGGTTTTATTCATTTTCTCCTTGAGAGAAAGAGAAAAAGAGAGAGAGAGAGAGGGAAATCGTATCGAATGTTGTCGTCTATTTAAATTCCGACATTTTTCTTCTTTTCAAATTTTTCTCGTTAAATTTTAAAACATTTTTTTTTTTTTTTTTACTTTTTAACGAAAAGTAATAATTCGACGTGAAATTTTTAATTCAACGTTTCATATCAACACTTTTTATTATCATTATCATTATCATTATTATTATTATCATTACTCTTTCGTTACATTTTACAAAAAAAAAAGAAAAATTTTCTATTTAAAATTGATTTCACACGACGACGCTCTCGTTTAATATAAAACCCAAAAAAAAAAAAAAATTTTTTTTCTTTCTTTTCTTTCTCTCTCTCTCTCTTTTTTTCTCTTAATGATAATAACGATAACGATTATAACCGTACAATAATAAACAAATTATATTACCCACGTGTAATTTTTCCACGTGTTTAAAAATTTCTTTCGAACCTAAAGCAAAATTTTCAAACAACAAAAACAAAAATTTCTTCGTTCGAGTAATAAAATCTTGAGTGATAAAATTTATATATATATATATATTATTATTACTCGAGTAATAAGAGTAATAAATACTTTAAGTAATAATAATAATAATAATGATAATAATAATAATAATGATCAAGTCCAAAATGAAATTAGTTTAATTAAAAAAAAATCTTTTTTTTTTTTTTTTTTTTTTTTTTTGGGTAAGAGAGTAATTAAGGTTGTTGAATTTTGTTCTACTTTAATTACTCATTGAATTCACACGCGCGCACACACACACACACACACATACGTATCACTCACATTTACCAAAAATAGCAGAAGACTTTTTAACTAAATGAGAATAAAATTTCACGGGAAATTATTTACGAAAAAAAAAAAAAAAAAAAACATAATGAAAATGACTAAATATTTAAATATATATCACTCGTATTTATATTTTTAAGTTATTAATTTTTTTTTTTTTTTTTTTTTTTGCTTTTAATGATCATACGAGTACCGACAATTTCGTAATGGCGTCGGTTTTTTTTAAATTTTACTGAGAGGGGAAGTGGAGTGGGGGAGGGAAGGGGAGAAAGGGAGAAAGGAAGAAACCTTTAAGCGATACTTCGATAATTGCACACGTGGTTGTTGTTTTTGTTGTTGTTTGTAAATCGCACATACGATTTTACCAA